ATATACCATAGGATTATAAATCCCAAAATAAAGACAATGTGCCATGTATTATGCAAGTACATCTATCATTACTTGGAAGATTTGCAGCTTCTAAAATGACCTACTGCATAAATTGCAGGTATTCTAAGTAAAGCAGAAAGCTTCCCTTCACACATCTATTTCCTTGTAGCCAATGTGCTTAACTTTCACTCCCATCCACAGAAAGGGTACTTTATCTCTGCCACGAAAAGGTGATTTCTGAGTCTCTCTGTGATGCACACACAGATTGTTTTCTTTGGGATATCATGTATGCTCACTTCAGAGTTGCACTAAGGAAATAAAATATTGGTAATGCCAAAAGACATCAGGAGTCAGTCTTCTAAAATTGTCAGTGACCTGAGGACACCATGTTTTTCTTGTCCAAGTGAGCCAGTGCTCATTTTAAAGTCTGATTGTAATGTGGAATTCAATGAGAGTTCATAGCACATAGCATTCAGATGATGTTCGTCAGCTTTTGAGGGTTGAAGCAGGCAGCAGACTGCATTCCTAGTACGCTCTCACTTAAAATACACTTGAAAAGGCCAGCAACAGTTTTCTTGTCCTTCTCTCTTGCCTCGCTCAAAAGACTTTAAAACAGTGCTTCAAATTTTACTGGAGTTATAAATCATATATCTGCCTTCATGTGATAGGTTCTCAATAGAACCAGAGTTTTAAGATCTGTATGCCAGATACTTCGTGTTATAGAAATATAGAAATGGCTGCTGTGCACACCAGTAGTGAGTAAAATTTGAGGATGTAACATTATCTTTCTCAATTGATTTGAGGAAAGAATGTTCATAAAACTTACACTGCTTTGGGTTAGGGGCTGATTTCCAAATAAACAAACTCAGCCTTGGAAATTCTAGAGACAGGCTAAACAAAGCATGCATTTGTAGCTGTACATTTTAAAATCAACTTTCTCACAATCTTTGCCTTTTGCAGGGTTTGGAAGATGGAAAATGAATTGCATTACTGTTATGACTGATAGCTGTTTTGATTTCAACTTCTTTTTCATCACTGAAGGAAATACCTTGACTCTTCTGGAATATTTCTTCTCTATTTAACAGGCTAATGTCACATCTCTGTCTAGGAAGGCACTGCTCTGAAGTGATTTGAAGGCAGCCATTTGTTTGTGAGTCAGACAGGGAAGAAAAGTGGAAAGCATTGCTATGACAAATTTCCTAGTTCTTTGGGCCCTAATAGAATAGGAAATGCTGGAGATTAGAGAACTGCATTGCCTCCAACAACAAAAAAAGTGCTAATCCACACAACATAAAACCAAAATAAGTGGGGCTATCTTCCCTAATTTGCAATGAACTGAGGTCAACCAGATTTTTATCTCAGCTACAAACTGGGAAGGAGAAAACAGCAAGAAAGGAAACACCACGAGTTGAGATCCTGCTTTTCACACAAGATTGTATGAACGATAGCTACACAGGATGCTTCCAGAAGATTAGAAAGCCAAAAATAAGCAAGGAAATATGGTTGGCCCAAATGCTCATATTTATTTCAAAAAGAGTAGTTCAATTTGTTACAAAGCTCTAGTATACACACATAGATGTTAAAATTGCACTATGTTTTCCATTTAAGATTTGAATTGTTTAAGAAAATTTTAAATGAGTTATTATCATGACAAAGGTTTAATAACACACCACAAAATATACTATATATCTTTTACTCATTCTTTCAACAGTTTACCGAATAGCCCACTATGGGCTAATCAAACAAAAAATAAAGATGCTGCCTTGCCTTCTGCCCAGGAAAGAAATACAAATACGTGACATAACAAACATACAGGTAACATTTCAGTATAAATCTATGGCAAGGCAGTAGGTATTAAACTGGCATTTTAATATGAATAAAAGTGTCAGGAATTCAGAATGGGAAACATCATTTCTGTATGCTAATGTTTGTTATTCTAAGCACAGGCTAAATTAAGGCAAGGGGCAGGGGGAACCCAAGTTCTGCCATTTACAATAATCCCAAGAATTAATAAACTTAATCTCTTGGAGTCTTGAGCCTTGATGTCTTCATCAATACAATGAGGATGGTAGTAATATCTATACTCTAAGGGCTAATATTAGGAATTATTCCGTTAAATGGAAAAGATTTCGTAATCCATAAGAGGCTATACACTGACTATTGAGAAGTTGGTAAAAGGGGTCTCACCAAACTACTATTGTTACTATGGGAAGGCAGAAAGAGTTAGAAGGTGGGAAGAGATGATGATTAACCTTTTCTTTACTTTTCTTTTATTTAAAATTTTATAATTCCTGTGAACTAACCTTGTAACAAAAAGATTTTAACGCTATATAGCTGAAGTACATTATTTTGATATCACAAAATAATTATAAACACTGGAATTCTTGCTCCTTTACAGATACAGAAACAAGTCTCAGTCCTGGTTTCAATTTCAGAATTTCTAAAGTCATAAAAATTTGCCAAGCTTGGGAATGATAACTAACTGAAACAGCATTTCCTTTCCTCAAAATTTTTAAATGAAGAAAATTTTGTAGTCATCCAAAACCATCCATTGACTCAAACCACCACTTTGGTCAATAAGTTTTGAAATAAGTACACTAAATTACTTCAGTTCTTCAAAGTATGGACCAATACACTTCAGGTATTCAACTGATAACTTTACAGACATAAAAAAATCTCTTCAAGCCATTCCAAATCAATGCCACAAAGTTTCCACAGTGGCCTGACAGACTTTTTAGACTGAACCTGGTCCAGATTAGATTCCTAACATCGACACAGTTGTGTTTGTTCAGGGGCAGAGTCAGATATTTCTTTCTTTTTTTCCTAAGATTTATTTATTTATTTGAAAGTCAGAGTTACAGAGAGAGACAGATGAACACACACACACACACACACACACACACACAGAAAGAGAGAGAGATCTTCCATCTGCCAGTTCACTCCCCAAGTGGCCACAATGGCCAGGGCTGAGCCAAGCTGAAGCCAGGAGCCAGGAACTTCATCCAGGTCTCCCACGTGGGTTGCAGGGACCCAAGCATTTGGCCATCTTCTGCTGCATTTCCCAGGCTTTTAGCAGGGAGCTGGATCAGAAGTGGAGCAGCTGGGACTCAAACCAGTGGCCATATGGGATGCCGGCATTGCAGGCGGCAGCCTTACCCACTATATCACAATGTCAGCCCTCAGAATGTGATATTTGTAACCTTTACATGCCTGACCCCTGATATTGTGACACGTGACTAGGCAAGGATAAATATTTGTTGAACAACTTTAGGAAATAAAACTCTAAAATATTTCAGTCAACTGGAACTCCAAGGAGATGGGCATATTTGATAAGAGGAACACAGTTTCTGTAACTGTCTCTGGAGAAAATCACTTCAGATACTTCCTAAGCCATCAAGATAAGTATACATTTAGGAGCCTTGGTGAAAACATCATGAAATCCCTACTGGTGTAGGTGGGACCATTTGAGAGAGTGTAGATGTATAAACTAACATGACAGCATGGGGCCAGCTGATCACAACCACTGCTTATTTGCAAAGACGTCCAAAGAATTTCATCAACATCAATAGGAGTGGGTAGACAAAGGCTTTATCTACCTGGTGCAGAAACAGGCCAGCGCCTGGAACACTGATCCCTTGGTTGACTATGGTCTCATTGGCTCATGGCCCCTCTATGATTTAATGTGAGCAAGCATACAGACACTATAAAAAAGGTTAGAATTGGTATTCACATGTAACAAAATTACTAAATCTTATTTGGTAATACATTCTTTCCACTAATGTACAGGCAGTTATGGCAGGGGGGCTGGGGAGTGGGGTGACGGGGGAAAGCAGTCAACTTTTGGGCTTACTCAAACATGATGGAAAAGACCCTAAAGACACCAGCAGGGAAGCAAAAGATCAGTGATATGAACTCATTCCTCTGATTTTCGTTGGTGATTTATAGCTATGAATGATATATCTAGTACTCAGCTCTTTGTTACTCCCTAGGTTGCTAGATAATTATTTTTTATTTTGTATAATCTTCCTCCCAAGGTAAGCAGGGCTTGTAATAACTTTTAAACTCTTTAGTGATACATTGATTCAAATAAAACCATTTTATAAAAAGTAAGTGCTTTTAGACAGCTCTCACTTGAAGCTTTTTGAAAAATTCATCCCCAAGTATCTAAAAGAGGTATATTTTTCTACTCCTAAAAAGTATTGAAGAAGGCCAATGGAAATGAATCGCTTTGACTGTAATTCCTTAGATTGCTGTTTCTTAGTTTGCTTAGTCAAATTAAGTTTGGAAGCTACCTAGAAATTTTCTCACATTTTGATCTCTGGGAAGGCAATTAATCAAGCTCTTGTTTGAGGCAACTCTAATCAGAATACCATGGAATGAAAGCCAGAGGACTGTACTTTCAGAATATCCAATAGTATATAATTGAAAACAGCAACAACAGTACGGGGAGAGTGGGGGAGTCCATGCCAGTGAGCTGATCTTAGAACCTCTGGTCAAGCAGCACTTGGCAAATTTCAACAGATTTAGTTAGCCAGAGGTAAAACGGAGCAGGAGGATACCCTGAAAACAAAACACATTTCAATCGCATCAGGAATTATCATTAAAAAACACTGTGAGATCTAAAAGCATGGAGCCACCAGAGGCAACTCGTTAGGAGCCCAGAGTCGTTATTTCATAGGGGAGGCTTGAAATCCAAACTTTATAGTTTCTTTAGGTCAAGCTATAGCAGCGCATTCAGAGAGCCAGCCAAAATAGCAGAGGGAAACGGGGAAGGCCACATGTGGAACTAATTACTCATGTAGAGGCCATGACAAAGAACATTTCTCCAGACTTTTCATGGGGGCTTCACTTTCAGGAAGTTGCTATAATTACTGTTCAAGTCTAGAGCAGCCTGCAAGCCGCTGACAGATCCAACAGACAGGAGAAGGGAAAAGGGAGGTGGGGGGAGGGGGAGAGAGAGAAGGAGGGAGAGTTGGGAGGGGGGTGTGAGAGAGAGAACTTATCTGCCCTTTTTGAGGAGGGAAATACCAGAAAATTAATCACCACAGGAAAGCTCAAAAAGTTTCTCAACGAGCTCTGCTTTCCAGTGTTCCACTTTCTATTTACCATTTTATCTACCTTCTATCTTCAAATTACTTCTGCAGCCTGGATCGGACAGCAAATTTGTACTTCTCCACTAACTCACTTTCTGTTGGCCACAGCCGAATTGTACATCTTGACTCCTTTTTTTTTTTTTTTTTACAGCTTTTCCATACTGGGGCCCACTTCCTGCCCAGTTGAGGAAAAAAATCTGGCCTGAAGATGAAATGACTGCTTAACATTACACTAAAACATCTGGTACCATTTTATGCACAGACCCATGTCTGAGAGCAGGCGATTCTAGCGGTCTCTCCAGCGGCACAGCGCATACCCAAACCTCCCCAGGGTGACATCATCCCATATATGGACTCTCCAGCCCAGCCCTCCCCCTTTTCCTGGTCCTAAATTCATTGCCAGTTCCCCAGTCTGCAGCAAATGTGCCACGTCAAGACTGGAAATCACAGCCCTTGAGTGTGTCTCAGTCAGTGCAGCAGAATTCAGGGGGGAAAGCCGAATGCAACCCCTGGTGCAGGAAGGGAGGCTTTTCCCAAGGACCAGGAGAGGATTTTAAGTACATAGATGGAAGCTTCTGGAGATCCTGCTCCGTCGCCCCAGTGTTCAGACTACCTGTTCAGGACAATGCCGTTGTACAGTAGTCTGCACATTGGTTAGACTGGGCAAGGGAGAGCAACGCCACGGACTGCTGGGGACAAACAGAATTTGCTGTGTCCAAGGAGAAGACGTTTATTTGCTCCTCTTTTTGAATCTCATATCCAGTGTTTTTCTTCACAGGTTTTGCACACGAGGGATCACGAAGCCCTCGGGGACAGTGCCGGGAAGGGACGCTCGAGAGGAGAGCTGCGGGTAAGGCCTTCTTGACTGCTCACCTGGTCTATGGCCAGGCGAACCTAGGTGGGGGTCCCAGGATTTGCCTGAACATACGAGGAAGACAGAGGTGTATGTGTGCTGTGTAGCGATTCATTTAATGTTGAAAGAGCAATAATGCGTGGTGTAATGTGATTTACCGTGTTTGATCTCTGAAGATTGATCATTCAAGAGTTTTTATAAGTTCACAGGTTTTTCTCACATCAAAATGAGATCTGAAGAGACCCGCTCCACCTAAGAATAGCTTAACGAGGCAAGCTTTAAATTGTTGAAATTAATAATTAAGAGATTTTAAAATTTCTATGAATGAGGACTGTATGGGTAACTCTCAACATCCCAGGATTGACTCCATTTTGCCCTTAAGAATAGTTGTTATCTTCTACTTACCAAATAGATAAGGCTTTTCTGAATATTTACTGAGATAATATCAACATCAGGAATAAAAGTACCTATCAAAAAAGGAAGAGCCTGCCAAGTTTTTGCCCCACCAGACAACACAGATGAGACTTGCACAGACACGAGTGCCAACCCACAAATTTATTCAGTCAGCAACTGAATAAATCAGAGAATGGAAACCTCTATCTTTAGATACATATATATATATATATATCCTCTGTATTTGCATATTTTAAAAAGAATCCTAGAATGGCTGATAATCGCTGGTCAGCTGAGCTCTCTTGCCTACATTTTACAATGCGTCCACTTCTCTCAGCATTTAAGATGATAAGGTACTTTGTCTAGAAACCACTGATAAAAAAGGAATTTGTAAACGAAGGCAAAACTTTTCTTTGGTTGATTTCCAGCTGTCCTGGAGGTGAAGGAGGGTGGGAGAGGGGGAGGAAGGTGGGAGGGAAAAGCCTCAAGCTGAATGAAATCCTAATAGAAAAAACAACAGACAGTCTGGATTGCAAAATGACCTGTGTGATCTCGCTGAACTTAGAAGTGGGTGCCCTAAAGAAAGTTCTGGAAAAATGTTCCTGCCTCACTCCTAATTCTCTCAATCCCCATTTATTTCCACCCCCAAACAATTCTATGTAATGAAAACATCTGTTCTTCTGTAGGCTTTTGTAAGAAGAAGCAATCTCTTTGTCTTGCTTTAACTTCCCTGAAGGACCAGGGCTTCCTGAATAAATTCTTCTCTGAATTATTCATTTTGCAACGATTCAAAAATTGACATAGGTTCTCTTTTGCAAGGCATTTTATTAAAAAAAAACTCACCGAATTTCACTTTTGTCAAAACAATTTATTTTAAAATTGCCCTGATAATCATCCCAAAACTGGTGTAAAGAACACATAGTTTTCTCATCTATTCATGGGTTTTGGTTAAAATATAAACAGCAAGGTGAAATTTAGACATCTTCAATTAGATGATACAATATATTCACCCTTCGTTTTATATTGTGAACTGGGCACTTTCATATTAATTATATTTACAAGAACAAGTAAGATCATAAAAATGCATATAATTCCTTTTGACTAAGAAAACAAAAATCTATGAGGGTAGCTTGCAGAGAATTTTTTATAAAAAATGCATTTTTATTAACTGATCCAAGTACTGAAGAGGAATGATAGTTACAAGGTACCATAGCCATGTTTAAGGTTTACTCAAAGTTTTTTTTTTTTAACCTGCTTTCATTTAATTTATATTTAATTTAAATTTCTTTGTTCATATTAAATGACCCTTTGTGTCTCAAAGAAACCAACCACTGCTGGTCCCTCACTTATTTTCTCCATCAGGATGATATTTAGTACAAGGGTAAAAGGGACATAAAGTTACCCTTGGCGACAGTACTGGAACAGAAATAAGAGAATTACTTCATAAAGGGGGTGACCAAGGAACCTCTGCACATGCTCGCTGGAGTGCAAACAACTCATTCATGACGCAAACTTAACAAATGGAAAGGAACAGTACTTATCTTAAAATATTAAGAGTTAAAGACAAAAAGAAAAAGGTCGTTTTATAAACTCCTGCTGAATGAGGGCAGAATGGTAGATTATGCCAACATCTGTACAAACATACTTTAGAACACCCATAGCTATTTCCAGGGTAATTAATGTTTAATTGTACTTTGATATTACTTTAAAGGGAGATATACAAATATTTTAGGGATCATGGAATCTATTCCAGAGGAAACTAACCAACAATGAATATCTTCAACTAAAACTACCCCTGGATTTAATGGTAAGTGTAAGTATTAAAACTAAACATTGTCTGTGGTCATAGAGGGAACATTATTTGCAGAGTCTGTCCAAAGTTGACTTCATAGATATTTCATAGTTTTTCTCATTTAGGTATGGGGATGATTGATGAATTTGATTAGGTATTGGGTTCAAATAACTTTTTCCACCATCTAACAGAAAGGAATTCGGAGGCATGTCCTAAATGGAAAAGGATCAGTATAAAACAATGTAGCTAAAATTTCAAAGCGTTTTTTTTCTTAAAGCTAAATATCTCAAAATCAAAGAAGGTGTGTTTACAGTGGGACCACATTTCACACTGATCACTTTCCTGCAATTAGCCAATAGGCTTCATATCCTTCCTGTCTTGTCTGGCACCCAGGCTTTCGGCCCAGATAATATGTTTATGTTTTTCAAAGACTAAAATATACTATCTACCCCCTCCTCTCGCCTACAGACCACCCAAGTATTTCACTCTGTGGGAAAGAGTTTAGGCATCAAAATCCTAATGAAAGAATTTTTCCCTTTTTGTTCAATTAAAGTTTTAAGCTGTTATAGGACATAAAAAGAAAGTGCAACTTGATAATGTTAAAAAATTCACTTATCCACAAGCATCCATGCTCACTGCAGCGAAGCCAGAGCTATTCCTCTATAAGGGAACTGCTCTTAAAGAGAACAGCCCACCCATCACAATAATGTCCAAATAATAACCAAGAGACCATCAGTCAGAAGTCCCGGCTTAAAATCACTAGAAGGTCAGGCTTTAACCTGAGACAGGAAATTCCTGAGCTGAAACCTTCTTACTTTCAATCCCTTTTTACTTTGGTGTCCAGTAAATTATGTAGATGTAAATATTTACCCATCTTTCCAAAAGTCTCTTAAGAAGACATTTTTGTCACTTTTAATAAGTAGGGATAATGAAGTAAATGAGGAAAGTAACTAAATCTTCATTTTGCATTTCCTGATTTATCATGACAACCAGTTTCCTGGAATTGCTTTGGTTTAATTTTATAGCAAAAGACTTGGAAGATAATTCTTTACTTGCATTGTCTTCTTAAGAAATCAAACAAAATAAGGAAATAAGGTGTAATAATCACATTAAAAACTACATGGTGGGATAATAATCTTTTATCTTTTGGTTAGTATTTTAAGTGATAATAAATTAGAATTCACTGTATAGTTTGGGACATAGAAAAGAAGGTTCAATATTTTTTCAGTCCATCTTTTTAACAAACTTAGGGGCAAGTTCAACATAAGAATGAAGTGTGTACACGCCACATACTTACTTGTAGTTATGTTTTAAAAATCTATTGAAAATTTAAATTGTCCAAAAGCTACATGAATGAAACCATCATTTTTCAGAGAGATTTTTTTCCTCTCTGGAAAAACTGTTACGGTTTTTCAGGCTCAAAATTTTTTTTGATATTTGAATTTAATAAAATTGTCTCATCATAAAGGAGAACATATGAACTTACAACTATTTCTTTTTATTTTTTCAGGTTGCATGCATCATTCCTTTAATTGGGCAGAGTTAACTGGATCAAATTATTTATGGGCGAGACAGGGAAAACTATATAGAATTATAGTAATTTTTAATTTCCACCACCATATTCTTTGTAAGTGAATCATACTATAATTATTTTCTGTTGCATTGAATGCAGCAACAATAACAAAATAGTAACAGAAGGTATTTGTTTTTTACATACTTTGATCTTGTAATTATTGAAATATCAGCCAAGTTTATTGATGTTTTTGATTGTGTTAAGAAAAAAAAAAGTTCTGCTCTGAAGTGATTGTCAGAAACAATAAGACATTTAATTTCTTGAAATTAAATACAGAGAAGACTGTATTTATCAATTCTTTGTTTAAACTTTGTGATATCTAATCACTGCATAAAGGTTCAGATTTGTGGGCAACTGTACTTTTTTCAGTCTCTAAAAACTATTTTTCTCTCCATAAAGTTTCCATTTGCTATTTCCTCAGAATTTTACAATTAAAGGTAAATAATAAATTATTTGTTTTCTTTAAAGTTCCTTTAAAAAATCCCAAGAAACCTCCTTAGATAATAATGTGTGTTCTGTTGTTTTTTAAAGAAATCCCACTTACTAGAAATTTGACCATTTTGATATTTTGCTTGGGGAGGGGAGTTTGCTAAATATTTTTATAGATTTGAATTTATAAATAATATTAAAATCACCAGGCTAATTGTTTTTGACTCATCAGGATTACTATTATATCTATATATGTATGCCATTAACTCTTTCTTGTATGAATTATAAGAAAATTTTCCAAAAGGTCTGATTTTGGTTTTGGGGTATGAAGCAGATTTTTCCCTTTCTGGGTTTCACATACTATTCTGGATGGCACTGACAATGCCCAAGCACATCTGCGCACCACTGTGGGTAGAGGCCTCCCAGTATGGCAGGTCCCTGAAGTTAATTAAGAGGAGGATAACTTAGGCCCACAATGTCTTTTATCTGAATTTCACATCCGTACTTAGTAACTTTGCATTTAAAAGGAAAATGAGAAATAAGTTTGTGTCATTTAACATAATGTTGGTAACAATACATCCCTTGTAAAATCCCACTATTAAAGCATCAGACACCAAAGGCTGTTGGATTCAGTGCCAACTATATTAGGCTCATTAATTATTTTGAAAATGGCTGTCATTTCCATATAAATGAAAATTTTCTTTTTCATGGACAAAGTTATGGTATTTATCTACTACAAGAAACATGTATAAACAACCTCATTATCTTTAACTTCAGTATTAAAATATGCAGAGTCTTTGTGAAGAGGAAAAACATCTGGTTCAATTACTCTGAACTCTGACTGCATGTGGGCCAGTAATAATATGGATTGGATTTAAGAATAAACCTTGTGTTTAATCTTTATTTTTCCTTAAAGTTTTAATGTGAGTGTTCTGTTATTCCAATTATCCATGTTAGCACGTTTGGAACAAATGTATAAGTGTACTTTCTGAATAAAGTCAAACGTCTAACTTGTTTTTAGTTCCATAATGTTTTAATGTTTAATTCTATTGTGTGTTTTTCTCCCTTTCCCCTTACTCTCCAAAATCACCAAATCTGGAAAACAGACTGATTGTATCTGTTCATGAACAAAGGAAACCTGAAGGAACCAAGGGCCTGGCTGGACAGAGTTGTCATGTGTCTGCCTGTCTACACTTGCTGTGCAGAACATCCGCTCACCTGTACAGCAGGCACAGACAGGCAGTCACATGACAACCCAGCCTGAATGACCACCAGCCATTGAAAGAAGGCAGCCCTCACACCATACAATCTACACCAAGAGCTACAACCAAAATGAGGGGCTTGGGGGCCTGGGAATTTAATCTGTTAACTTAATACTTAACTCGTATGTATTATTATTTTATTTTGATTCAAATATTAAAACCCACCAAAAGTAAAGTAAGTGGTGCCTATTAAATATAATAAAACCCATTTCTGAAAATGTTCCTGTGCTTTCTATAGTTCTCTTTTCCTAATTGTTGTCAGTAAACCACTACCCTTGACATTTATTGTGCAGCTTTGCAGTATCCCATAATCAATATAAAAAATCAATATTAACAAAACAAGATAACCTTAATCTGATGCTTCACAAAGAATAAATTATTCTAGTAACTCTAATCCACAAAACAAGTATAATTTTCCATATCATGACTTTTTCTTCAAGAGAGAGAGGCCCAGAAAGAGAAAGAGAGGGGAGAGAGAGAGAGAGAGAGAGAGAGGAAAAAGGAGGAAAGGATAATTAATACTCAGAGGATCAACTATTTTGAGTTAATAAACTCTGGCAGTTTGAGTCTGGGCAAAACACAGTGAAAATAGTATTCATTTCCAATGTAAGTTTCAAATTTTAAAAATAATTGCCTTAAATAATAACTGCCTTAAAACAAAGGAAAAGTAGACATTGTAACTTTGCTATTTCCAAGTATCATGACACAAAAACGTATAACGGTGTCATTGTTACTTCAGAAGGGGCTCACTACAGCTCTCAGAATGGACTCCACGGGGCCGGAATATTTGCTTCCATTCACTATAAACTTGCAGACTCTTGAGATGTACAGGTATTCAGTGTTTTCAAAGCACAAGGAAAGTGGTTACTGGATATACAATGTATATTTGCTCAAATCTTTTGAGGAAATAGTAAAACTTCAGTTTACATAGTGTTTGCTGGAGTGAAACGATCAGGGCTAGCTTTGTACATGAAGATTTCAAACGTTCAAGGGTAAAAAGTGGGAAGATGAGTAATATTAGAAATTGGCCATGTTTAGTTTGATTCATTAAAATATCTTAATTACAGTACTTAACATTAATTTTCACCTTTCTTAGAAAGATTCTCAAGTTTAAAAAATGTAACATTTTTATCTCAAACTTCCTACTTAAAAAAATTTAAAAATTAAACATTTCAAGTCATAAACATGGATTTCAAAAATTTTTGCATCAAATATAGTTGTCTTTTAATTTTATTTTTTCATGAGTTTGCTGAAGTATTCTCTTATATATTTTAGATTTCAGGAAAGTATTTTACATTTAGCTATTTCAGTTTTAAAATGAAAGTTTCAAATTTTTGATTCTGTGTTATTTCAACCAAACTTGACACTATAGTTTAATGGAGAAAAAAACCCGAGTGATGGACAAAAATATAAAGAAAAAATAGCTTTTAAAGTTAAATGTCTTGCATTTAGATAGTTTAGCCTTATGGAAATACATCATCTGCTAAAATACTCTTTTTCTTCTGCAAGACACATTTTATGATGGAGTTTTTTTTTCTTTTATCTTAAATAAAAATCCTAAGATTAGCAACAGCAATTCAAAACAATACTTCACAGAATGTAAAATAACCAGAAAGACAATATAAAAATGTGTCACAGAGTATCTACCTAGTTCCACCCAATTTTAAATGCTTTGAAAAACTTGTGACAAACACTGCCTACAGGAGTCTACGTGTGGAATCATTCCATTGTACACTGCAAGGCAGTCCTAGGACAGAGCCTACAGCTGTCAGAATAACACAATAATCAAGTCAGCATATTCAGGAGGCTGCTCTTAGTCAATCAAATTCCAGAGGGAAAGTTGGAAGGGCAGCAGACTGGTGCTCAAGCAAAGCATTCCAGGACAGCATCTCAAATATTTTTGCCTTAAAATATGACTTTACAAGTTTTTAAAAACATTTTTACTTGCCTCTCAAAAATTCTTAAAAGGTGTTATGTACACTTCAAATCCATTCAGTGAGGTATACTTTATATTTTTCCTATTTTGGGAAAGGGTAATGTAAAGAGTAATATTGTTCCTCCAGCATAAACTTTTGAGTCAGACAAGAAATATATATAGGTGAATTGGTTTGGATCCGAGAATATTTTTAATAAATTTTAAGCAGTACTTTAAGTATTATTATTTAATAGTATTTTAAATAGTATTACTAAATAATGCTTTTTCCAAGATTATGCCTGGATAATGCCAGAATGTGAACATGTTTGGATGAAATAATCCTACATTGAAAAGCACAACATAAAGTAGTTTATGTATATGAAAAAAATAAACAACTATGATCAGGAAGAATTTTAAGTAATATAAATGGATGAAAGCTTAATATATAGGGACAGTTTTTATAAAAAATAAACAAACAAACAAAACCCCTCAGTTCTGGGTAAGTATAACCACTCAGCAAGTCACATGAACAGTGTCCAAGGGTCGTGGCTGACCTAATGCATCACGGGAGAGCACAGATCCAGCAGGAAATATGCACAGTCTTGAACATGTAAGTGAAAATGGAAAGAGCTGAAGATTTCAGTAACTTCTTGGCCTCATAACTTTGACCACTCAGAGAGATGCAGCTGTCATTTTGTTTCCTATTGCTGAAGTTACATTTGTCATCTGTTAGAGCTACACAATAAAAACAACACTAAGTAAATATCCCTATAAGGGAATTATATAATCTCCTTATCATGCTATCCAAACACTTCAACCCACAAATATGAGGCCTGTAATTTCTTAAGAGTCCAAAATATGTCCTATTTCAAAGGAGATTTTGGATTTTCTTCAATAGTGTAAGGTTAGCACACTTCCTTTGGAAACATTTCTGGTACATTACCACATTTTCCTAGGAAGATCCTATGTTGATGTTAATCTTAATGTGGGATGATAGAAATGGTACAAATATTGGCTGAGCACTTTTATCATGCATAAATTAGCAGCCTCTTTTCTCAGAGATTTTTAACTATCTCTGTTAAAGTTTATACATTTTACATTTTTATACATTTCTCATTGATAAGAAAAAAATCTTTTCTCCTTGAATAGGGTATCCTTAGGCACTTGATATACTTTGGATACAATGAATTTTTCTGCTGCATATATTCTTGAAAATTTGTATTTTAGGCACATGTTAAAGAAAAGCCATCACTTTTTTAGAAATCTGATTTTTAAATTATCAATGTACCATTATCTGGTTGGAAAAGCCTTTTTTTTTTTTTTTTTTGACAGGCAGAGTGGATAGTGAGAGAGAGAGACAGAGAGAAAGGTCTTCCTTTTTGCCGTTGGTTCACCCTCCAATGGCCACCGCAGCTGGCGCGCTGGGGCCGGTGCATCGCACTGATCTGAAGCCAGGAGCCAGGTGCTTTTCCTGGTCTCCCATGTGGTGCAGGGCCCAAGGACTTGGGCCATCCTCCACTGCACTCCCTGGCCACAGCAGAGAGCTGGCCTGGAAGAGGGGCAACCGGGACAGAATCCGGCACCCCGACCGGGTCTAGTACCCGGTGTGCCAGCGCCTCAAGGCGGAGGATTAGCCTAGTGAGCCATGGCGCCGGCCAGAAAAGCCTTTTAAAATGACCATTTCTATTTTATTCTCACTCTGCTTTTTTTCTAAATCCCTCCCAAGAATTGTGAAATATAAATTTACAGGTAAAAATTAACATAAGGAAATTTGCTCTCTTTAATGATCATCAATCCAGAAAGTCGCATTTATACTCAGACAAGAGGTGATCACCAAGTGCAGTGGGTTTCAGCTGTTGCTAGGGGACACCTGCATCTCATGTCAGAGTGCTGGCTGGAGTCCCAGCTACCACACTTTCAATCTGGCTTCCTGCTAATGCATCCTGGCAGGCAACAGATGATGGCTCAAGTGTTTGGGCTCCTGCCACCCAGTGGGAGATCCAGATGGAGTTCCAGAATCCTAGCGTCAGCCTGATCCAGCCATGGATTACAAAATCCATTTGGGTAGTGAACCAGCGGAATCTCTCTTGCTCTTGCTCTTGCTCTTGCTCTTGCTCTTCCTCTCTCTCTCTCTACTATATATCTATCTATATATATAGATATAGAGAGATATTATATATATCTATATTATAGATATATAACTATAATTATATAAAATTATATACTATATATTTATCTATATATATATGTGTTGCTCTGCCTTATAAGTAGGTGAAAATAAGCAGAGGTTGAAAAAAGTCTACTACCCTTCTTTTGCTATTGTTTATCTATTTTTTTTCTTTTTATAGGCAGAGTGGACAGTGAGAGAGAGAGACAGAGAGAGAAAGGTCTTCCTTTTGCCGCTGGTTCACCCTCCAATGGCCGCCGCTGCAGCCGGCGCACCGCGCTGATCCTGGCAGGAGCCAGGATCCAGGTGCTTTTCCTGGTCTCCCATGGGGTGCAGGGCCCAAGCACCTGGGCCATCCTCCACTGCACTCCCTGGCCATAGCAGAGAGCTGGCCTGGAAGAGGGGCAACCGGGACAGAATCCGGCGCCCCGACCGGGACTAGAACCCGGTGTGCCGGCGCCGCAAGGTGGAGGATTAGCCTATTGAGCCACGGCGCCGGCTGTCTACTACCCTTCTAAAACAAACATTAACAAAATCTCAACACAATCTATGTCAAACAGAAAACTCACAGTAAAACTTTAAGGAAAAAAGTAATTCAATAATTTAGCTTAGGCACTTGATATACTATGATGAATTTTTGTGCTGCATATATTCATTAAGGTGCTCAGCCCACCTTAATCCAGTCACAATCTAATAAGATTTCCTCTCAGCACTGTGTCTCCTAGTGATAAAAAGTGAACAAAACAATGGCTCCTGGGTTCAAAAGTTTGCACATGTTATAAGTTGCCCTGTAAGTTTTTACCTTCTGAAAATTCTCTTCAATCCATTCATTTCTATTAATTTCTATCAACTCACCCCAGCCCAAGCTGTTACCATAGTCTCTCACACAAAGATCAATAATTTCCTAATAACTCCCCAATCAGGTTTAGCCTTTTCCAATTCATTCTCCACAATTTAACCAATTGGGTCTGTACAAAATTTAAAATACGATCATGTGACTCTCTAGCTTAAAAACTTCATCATTCTAAGATCAAAATCCTTCATCTGTAGAGTCCATCGCTAGACTTTTTCCAATCACCTAGTCTTAATTCTATTTCTAAACTCATCCAGCTCAATCACATTGTAGGATGTAACGCATAC